GAGATTATTTGTGAGAAGATGATTAATGAAGAGATTGTTAATGTGGGGATTGTTAGTGAGGGGATTAGTAAAAGCGTGTTTATTTTGATGATAATGAGAGAGATGGTTACTGATAGGATTGTTAAATTATTTTTATATAAAATATATATATATTTATACTTCTATATTAAAAAAAATTCTAAAACAAATATAATATTTTTTTTTACAAATAACAAGTTGCACTTGGGTACCAAAAAAAAAATTGTGCTTTCCAGTCGATTGGACATCCAGGCGAACGACCAGATACACTTAATCCCCTCACTATTTTTTCAATCCCACCTTCTCCTCAACAAAGCTAATCCGTTCACTGAGAGGGATTGTTAAAACCAGTGGACTAACACTCCAGGACTTACAAGAGTGAACCAAATATGGCTTCATAGACCTATGATGAGGCATCTTAGTCCAATCCCACCCTCCAAACCGCCAAACAAACGTGACCTAAGTCAAAAAATTAACAATGTGTTAAATAAATTAATTTTTTTTACTATATAAAGAAGCAAATTAATTTTTAATAAAACTGTTTTTAACTAATAAACTAGTTTTTTCAACAAATTAAAAAAAAGGTCCAGCTTCTCTCCAGTCTAGAAACGGACTGGACGGTACTGTTGGGCTATGGTGGGCCCAACTCCAGACTCATGTCGATGATCCAAACCGGTCAATATGTAGAGCTCATTGATTACATCATCTCTTCAAAAAATCACGCTAATCAGGCATTAATAGCCACCTAATCAGCTTGTATTTGTGTCTGCAAGTTATTTTTAAAATCATAATTGTCATTGAAACAAAAATAAGCTGATTAAATGGCTATCGATATCCGATCAACGTCATTTTTATAGGAATGATGTTCTCGATGAGTTCTACACATTGAACGGTTTGGATAATCGAGATGGGCTCGAAATCAGACACACTACAACCCAACAACACCGTACAATCTAATTTTAAACTAGAGAAAAGTTGTGGACTTTAAAAAAATCCCTACATTTGGAGTTTTCCAACTTGCATACATGAAATTACCACTGCTTATCCATAACATGTTAATGAGTTTCAAAATTCAAACGTTGAGGTGTTATTTTATCATGAAATTATTCAATGTTCCTGGAGTAATGTTATATTCCATTTACAGGTTGATACTTAATATTTTGTCTCTTAAAACTCTAACATAAAAACGATGGATCATATGATTTAGACCAATAACTACTTATTTGGAGCACCACCTAAACTTGCTCCGAAAGCATTGAATAATTTCTCTATTTTATCTGTTGGGTTTCTCTCATATATACATCTCAACAATAGAGAATTTGAAAGGTCAATCGTTCGTTTTGTAAGATTCTCAATCTATATAAAATGTAACGCCCCGACTTTTGTTACTCGAATAATATTACCATATCCGTTATCAAGTCCATTTTAATAACAATAAAGATGCAAAATCAGCAAGGAATTGACTAAATTACAAAGTTCTCTCTCTCGTTTACATACAATGAAAATACAATAAGTGCCCTTAGGCTTACATCAGAGAAAATAGATAAACAAAATAACAAAAGGGATTAACCTTCTTTACAACACTTGGGTATTCTGCCTACAAATATAAGGCCTCGTGGCCAACAAAACAAAAGATTTCAAGTTTTGGACAATCTTCAAATCTCTGCATCTGAAGAAGTTTTTAACAATTTGGGATGAACACAAGGTCTAGAAGGGATTCCGATGATCTTAAACAATAACAGCACATAGATAGCTATGATCATAAATGCTCCACATTATAATTATTTAAGTAATGTGACTTTTCATAACTAAAATAAGCTGACATAAGTATATTTTTTTTCTTTCTTTAAAGATCCTCTTTAACATAGCAAGAAACAAAACCATTCCTTATCTTTCTAACCTTTTCATTTTAATTCAAAAGAATCTCATAATAACATTTCTTTTTAGAAAACAAGTTCACATGTTGAAATCATAATCTCGTCTTGCATTTCAATTCACTACACTCACAAGAACGTCCACCGTGTTTTATGGCCTTAAGCACAAATAGAGCACCCACAATGATATATACAGAAGGGACAACAATAACATCAACATGTATTCCCATGTTTTACAGGCCACTGGCACGAAAGGCAAATGGTGCACCTCTCATAACACAGTGTATATTCAAAAATAAACTAACAATACTAACATATAAGATAACCAGATTTCGTCACGCCATAACTACCACAACACACTTTACTGAGAGTGAGCCGAAAGGAAATAGAACTTATCTCAAAGCACCATGTTTTACCCGACCTCATGCTTGAAGGAAACAGAACCTTAGCACGCTTTATTGGGCGCAAACCGAAAGGGAGCGAAACCTACGTCAATATGCCACGCTTTATTGGACCTCAACCGGAAGGAAACAGACCCTCAAATCCACGCTTTACTAGGTGTAAGCCAGAAGGGAGCGGAACCTATGTCAATGTGTGTGAAAATCCACATTTAATTATTCTTAAAAGAAAATAAATTAATTAATTAATTTTATCCAGAGTCTATCTGAAGTGTATATTAGTATAAAAGTTAGTTTTAAATTGACCTAATTCAATCACTAACAAAGACATTATTAAGAATAATAATTTTGTGGGTGTTCAATATTTGTTGTTTATAAATTATTTTAATTAGGATTCAATATGATAATTATTCTTACTAAATACCTTAGTTAAAAATCTTAGTGTATCAATTTTAAGAAACCCACAAAAATAAATAAATAAATAAATAAATAAATAAAGGTGGGCATATTCCTCATGATAAAGTAGTGCTTCCGTTTGTTATAGTTTTAGTTTTATTTTTATTTTTATCTATTGTTATTATTTCAACTGATAACATTTCTTTATGCTTACTAAATGTTACTTGTTATTCTGTTACTATGCATTATTCATAAATTGTGAGTATTATTATCGGGGTGGGTATTTTTGGGTTGTAGTATCTTATTGAGCTCGTCGCTCACTGGCATTCCCGTTGGCCTGGCGTTTTATGCCATGTACCGAAGAAACCAAAGGAAACACCGAGGCCTTGTAAGGCGACACTCAGCCTTGGTTAGCTTGAAGAGTGCCTAAGTTCCATGAACCATTTCCTAAAATTTCTAGTTTTTCTCTAGTTTTCTTTTTATATTTGTGTCATTTCTGTTATGTACTAAGACTAAGTTGTGATGTAAGAACTTTAAATTATGGGTTGTTAATTAATGGATGTTAGTAATATTGGTGGCAATATAGATTTTAAGTTTCTAAATCTTATTATGATGTCTTTAAATTTTGGGGCGTCACAACGTGGTATCAGAGCTTAGGTTGAGAAACCCTTGAGACCTTGGAAAACCCTAAGCTTGCTTGTTAAATAACTTATTAGTGGTTATAGTGAGCATTTTTAGTTACTAAGTAAAATTTTAATTTTTGTGGATGGCAAACGAAAATCAAAATGGATGGTTGGAGGAAGAATCTAAGATGTTAGATGAGCCTATTGACTGGGAAGAGGATCCAGAGGAGAATCCAGAGGAGGACCTAGAAGAAGAGCCAGAAGAGAACTTGGAATTAGAGGAAGAACTTGAGATGTTAGATGAGCCTATTGACTGGGAAGAGGACCTAGAAGAAGAGCCAGAAGAGAACTTGGAAGAAGAGTTTGAAGTAGGAGTTGAGGGTGATTCCTATCCTGAGTCTGACTCTGATCAGAAAATGGTGGAGTCCAATCCTAAATCTTTGATAGAGGACGGGCCTGAGGCGGCCTTGAGGCATATGATGGTGCCACTCGTCCAGCCATATGGAAAGGCAGTATTTGTGAGGGTTACCCCTACTAGGATGTGCTATTGGAGGAGCTCGCCTAGAAAGGATATGTTTATCGGGCCAGTCTAGATAAGAGAATATCTGGACAATAACTTCTATCGAGTATGGAACCTACCTCCACATTACGTCGCAAACAAGGGTGATGCGTTTCTACTACAAGATATCCGGACTACCCAACCTCTTTTTAGTCACGTTGTCTGAACTCTAGACCCATTTGTGAATTTTTATAGAGCTGCCACGTATCACGAGATCCCTACCTGCGTGATTAGACGAATGGTGGGTCAGAATAGGGTGTGGATGGTCCTTGTCCGCTGGGAGTGTTATGGGCTACTCGATGAGGCATGGGAGTTTGAGGAAACAATGCGTCAACGTTGTGCCCATTTGCTTAGTTAGGAAATGACAAGTGTAGAAATTAGGATAACAACAAATTTTGTAGCACTTAATTGTAATAGTCCTAGTTTCTAACTTAGGGTTTTTGGTTAAAAAAAAATGAAGTAGGCAGGGGTAGAATGAATTTTTTTTGTTTTGTTTTCCTTTTTCTTTTATGAATGTACTGATCTTTTATTATCATTAATGAAATCCTAGTATTTAAAAGTTTGTGTGTTGGACTATTTTACTGGCATTTTATCTTTAAGTAGAAAATAATAATAAAAATAAATAAATAAATAAAGGGTGTAACAATAATATCCTTTGTATAGAAGATGGTAGGAAGATCTAGAGCAAATGGATCCAATAACAACAACAACAACGACGACGGCAACAACAACAACAACAACAACAGTGACGTTATGAATTTCGTTCGAGCGATTACTAATGAACTAAGAAACCAACCCAAGCAACAACAAAGCAGAATTAATAGCGAAATTTCAAAAACTCAGGCCCCAAAATTTTTTCGGAGAACCCAACCCCTATGCAGCTAAGGCATGGATAAGGCAAGTGAAGAAAATATTGGAGACGCTAGAGATTCAAAATGAGTAGGACCAAGTGTCCCTCGCTTTATTTTTCTTTGATGGGGAGGCCGATTTCTGGTGGACAATGATTAAGGAAAGCCGTCAGGTGGCCGACCTCTCTTGGAGACGGTTCGAGGAATTATTTATGGAAAAAAACTTCCCAAACTCAGTAAGGCAGGAGATGATCCAAGAATTTCTCCAACTGAAACAAAGAGGCATGACTGTGGCACAGTATGCCAATCGATTTAAGGCCCTTTCTCGCTGTGCCACAGCTATAGTGACAAATGAAACAGATAAGGTAAGGCGCTTTGAGTGGGGACTCGGGGATCCGAGACAAGCTGGTTGCAGTGCAGCTACCTACTTATGCACAGGTAGTAGATAGGGCTCTTACCTTAGAAAGAGAAAAGATGGACACTGCAACGACTCAAGGTCAGCAGTCTAGAACCAACCAGCCAAGAAGTGGAGGACCCTCAAGGAACAATAGGACCCATGCTGCCTCGGTACCTTATGCTAGGGGCCACAACAACAGCAAAGGTACAATCCTGAACATCGTAATAGGGAAGGGGCTAGAAGGTGTTATGAATGTGGCCAAGAAGGGCATTTTAGGAACAATTGCCCTCAGAGGTCAGGCTACTACATCAATTAAGGGGAGGCCACTTAACGAAACAAATGCGTACCAACTCAGGGAACGCGAGCTGTGCAAAATTCCCAATCCAGCTCAGCCGCCAGCTAATCGAAATGTGGGGCAATCAAGGACTCAACAACCAAGAAATGCGAATGCAAAGAAACCTTGGGTGCCAAACCAGGGTGCCACCGGAAGAGTCTTTGCACTCCAAGAAGGAGAAGACGATGGAAATCCTTCAGTGATTCGAGGTATACTCATCCTTATGAACTCTTGTGTACAAGTCTTGTTTGATTCTGGAGCATCACACTCTTTTATATCTGCTTCATGTGTTGCAACTTTGGGATTAGAGCCTGAACAATTAGAAACACCTATGAGTGTAGCTTCACCGCTAGGAGGTCAAACTCGAGTAGATCTCGTATTCAAATCATGTGAACTAGGAGTCTCTAGCTTACGTTTAACTTGCGACCTACGAGTCATGGAAATGTCAGACTTTGACGTTATCCTAGGAATGGACTAGTTATCAGCCCATAGAGCCACCATTGATTGCTATCGAAAGACGGTGACTGCTTACTCTCAGGACGGAACGAGATTCCAATTTAAGGGGGATAAACAAGATTCCCTATCACTAACATTTGGAAAGTCAAAGTGGCATGATCACCTAGCTGGGTGGCTAGCCAGCTTAGTTCTGGAAGACAAAAATCGTATGGAACTAGGGCTACCTCGTGTGGTATGCGAGTATACTGATGTGTTTCCAGAGGAGTTACCAGGACTACCTCCAAAGCGAGAAGTGGACTTTATGTCACGACCCCATTCCGCCCCTAGTAGAATGGTGCCGTGATGGTCAGTAATCCGAGATTACCGAAGGCCAACTTTCAAAATTCACACACAATCAGAGTATTACATATGGGGCTAACATGTGCGGAAGCAATATATACAAATCTAATTAGTCCATAAGAGCAATGCATAAGTTAAATGGAAAGACATACATCTTTACATAGCTTTAATACAACAAAATGAAGTACAAAAATACATCTTGACCAAAAGGCTTCTTAGCTATCAAATACAAAATACAATGAAATACAACTAAGAAGCATAATCTTCAAGATGCTGCAAAAGTGCAAAATCCAAAACAAGTGGCAAGTACATCTAGGCGTCACCGCCGTCCTGCTCGTCACCTACATATATATAGAGAGGGGTGAGCTTGGATACTCAGTGAATGGTATAAATAATAAAGGGGTTTACATGAATGATTTCTGAAATCTTTATCAAATCAAGGCACGTCACATCTTGTACAAAATCAAAGAGCAAATCAAGTTTATCTAACAAATCTTTCAAGTCTCAACAATTAAAGTCTTTCAAGGACTTCAAGTTCCAAGGGATGACATTAACAAAGGTTGTGCTACAAATGCTTATAGTCCCCTAGCACGTAAGAACTTTTCAAGATTGTACTACAAATGCTTATATTCCTAGCAAGCGATCGAAACTTTCCAGGATAGAGTGTGCTACACAATGCTTATAGGATCCCACATAGCAACGCACAAAGGCTTATTCAAAAGATGAGTGGCTAACAATTGCTTTATATAGATATTTAAATTTAAATTTGGGAATAACCTCTATGCAAAGGTAACGCAACTTTCCAAAGCATTGGTGCCTACAAATGCTTATAGTCTCCTAGCACGTACGGACTTTCAAGATGGTGTACAAATGCTTATAGTCCCTAGCAACGTAACGGACTTTCAAGATGGTGCTACAAAATGCTATAATAAGTATCCCCTAGCACGTACCGGACTTTCAAAAGAATGTCAAAACCAAAGCATAATACTTGATACATAAACAAAATACGGGATAGTCATTCATGCTTAAAAATACTTTTCAAAACAAGCAGGCAAACCTTTATCAAAACTTAATATAACTTTATTAAAAAATACCATGCCAATAGTTATTTCAACGTCGGGTCAAGGCAAGTCAAAATGTCCTAACAAACACATGGCAAAGTCTATTGAATGCATTTTCTCAAAACAAGTCTTGCATGCATTGCAAATGAACCGTCAGATTGCGGATTCTTCAAAAACTAAGTCAAATCAAACAAAAAACCAGTTTCTTATCTCGGGAAACATGCTGGGCAACTACCAGGTCTAGCCGAGGTCCAACCACCTCCTTGCCAGGAGGTGTGGCCTAGATGGCACAATTCCAAGGAAATGAAGTCGGGAAAATACTGGGTTTTCCCTTCTTTGAAGAACATGACGAACATGAAGAACATGAACATGAGGAAGATCGATAGCAAAGATCTAATTTGCGTATATATAACAAAATCTGAGATTTCATGCTTGATTCAAAACATGGACCTGGTACCATATTCAAAAAGGAATATATAGTTGAAGATATAAAGCAGAGAATTATTAAAATAAGCGAGCAAAATCTATTGGGATATCAAAAACTAAGACTTTATTCTTCAATGAAATAACACCTTAATATATATATATATATATATATACCAACTTTAAATCAATGCATGACGTGCAGAACAGGTTCGATCGTGCAATGCAGCTAGATAAACATAAAGAACGACAAAAGTAAATCAAGAATCTAACCTCAATACACGAATCTAACGGTTTGATCTCTAGAAATCAAGCTCAAACGCCCACTCTCTCACTCTAAAACTTCTTCTTCTTCCTAGAGCTTTTCTCTCTCTACAAGGCAAAGATATAATACAAAATGTATATTTTTTGGGTTTGTCGGCTGACTTAACCCTCTGCAGGGGTACGTGGCAATGGCTGGTTGGTTCTACTAAAAAAGGTGACTGAGTGAAAAGACAAGACTATGACAAAGTGTACTCAACAAGCTAGGCGGCAAGAGCACTCCGACAAGTAACGACATCGGCTAACAATAAGACTTCGGCAAGCAAGGGGCAAGGACATCGGCTAGAAAGGACAACACTTGGCCTAGCTGTGCCACACCTTGGCCTAGATGTGCCACACCTCGGTTCTAGGTCGTACCAATCCAGGAGTAAGGTCACTTGGGTTCAAGGGTAACATCTCGACCTAGATAATACACATCTCGGCCTCGGCGATAAACACCTCGGCCTAGATAGTGACATCTCAGCCAACATGTCAGAGCGAAGGTGGAGTCAATCAAAGTAAATTCCAAGATGGTCTTAGATGCAAGAGGTTCAAAACTGACCTAGGCTCAGGGTGACCTCGGCTAAACCCATATCGAGTAAGGTACAAAGCATGCTATAACACTTAAGCGAACAAGGACAAGACTTGAAATGTAAGCTTAACAAGACAGAATCATATGAATGCATATGAGTATGGTTAGGACAGTGTGAGGGTTATTACACTTTACCATTGAGCTACAACCTGGTACATCACCGATCTCAATGGCACCAAATCATATGGCACCAGCTGAATTGAGAGAGCTAAAGACACAGTTGCAAGAATTGTTGGACAAGGAATTTATAAGGCCAAGCACGTCCCCGTGGGGAGCACCAGCCTTATTTGCTAAAATGAAAAAAGGGACACTTAGGTTGTGCGTTGATTATCGACAACTCAATAGAGTCGCCATTAAGAATCGGTATTCACTACCTAGAATTGATGACCTTTTCGATCAGCTTGGAGGGGCAAAGTATTTCTCAAAGATAGACCTCAGGCTGGGTATCACAAATTGCGTGTTCGGGAAGAAAATATTCTTAAGACTGCGTTTCGAACCCGTTACGGCCACTATGAATTCGTGGTGATGCCATTCGGCCTAACCAATGCACCAGGCGTGTTCATGAGCTTAATGAACAAAATATTCACACCTTACTTAGATTAATTTGTGGTAGTTTTCATAGATAAAATTTTGGTGTACTCCAAGTTTGAAGGAGACCATGAACAACATTTGAGAATAGTACTTCAAACTTTGAAAGAGAACCAATTGTATGCTAAGGCTAGTAAATGTGGGTTCTGGATGGAGGAAGTAAAATTTTTGGGTCACGTGGTATTTGAAAAGGGAATATCAGTAGACCCAACTAAAGTAGAAGCAGTGACAGAATGGAAACAACCTAAGAACACAAACAATGACACATTTGACTCAAAAGGGGGTAAAGTTTGAATGGAACGAGTCTTGTGAAAATTCATTGAGATTCGTAGTTTCTTAGGATTGGCCGGTTGCTATCGAAGATTCATTCAAGACTTCTCAAAATTGGCCAAACCAATGACACATTTGACTCAAAAGGGGGTAAAGTTTGAATGGAACAAGTCTTGTGAAAATTCATTCCAAGAACTCAAGAAAAGATTGAAGAGTGCCCCTATTCTCATAGTGCCAGAACGTGACATTGGGTACAACGTGTATTATGATGCTTCCAAAGAAGGTCTGGGGTGCGTATTGATGCAGAATGGCAAGGTGGTGGCATATGGATCAAGGCAATTAAAGAACCATGAAAAGAATTATCCCACCCATGACTTGGAGTTAGCAGCTATAGTTCACGCACTCAAAATTTGGAGACACTACCTATATGGTGAAAAGTTTGAGATATTCACCGATCACAAAAGCTTGAAATATCTGTTCACCCAAAAGAATTTAAACATGCGTCAGAGACGTTGGATGGAGTATCTCGAGGATTATCAATTTACCCTTTCCTATCATCCCGACAAGGCTAACGTGGTGGCAGATGCGCTAAGTCGCTAGAATAGAGGGATTGTTGCTAGTTTAGCACTTAGAGAATGAAATATGGTTGGAACGCTCAATGAATTTGGAGTACAAATGGGGGTTCAAGATGAAAAGGCTTACCTTGGTACTCAGATTGCTACGCCTAAAATTTTGAGCGAGATATTGGAATGACAAAAGTACGATCATGAGGTAGCATTCATCAAGGCACAAATGGAATCTAGTGAAGCCATGCCTGGTTGGGAAATTCACACTGATGGGAGTTTGAAATATCAAGGTCGAATGTTCGTGCCAAGCAACAACTCACTAAGGGAAAACGTACTCAAGGAATTCCACCATTCAGTATTCACAGTACATCCAGGAGGTACTAAGATGTACCAAGACTTAAAACACCAATATTGGTGGGGCGGAATGAAAAAGGATGTAGCAAAGTTTGTGTCTTAGTACCTGACATGTCAACAAGTAAAGGTTGAACATCAAAGACCGGCAGAAACACTTCAACCCTTACCAATTCTGAAGTGGAAATAGGAACACATAACCATGGATTTCGTGACAGGTTTGCCTCGGTCACCACAGGGACATGACGACGTGTGGGTGGTGGTAGACCGATTAACTAAGACAGCCCGATTCTTAGCTATCGGGTCATCAAATACATTGGATTCACTCAGTAGATTGTTCATCAAAGAAGTGATCAGATTACACGGAGTACCAGTTAGCATCGTGTCTGATCGTGATCCTCAATTCACTTCTCAATTTTGGCAGAGCTTGCAGAAGGCAATGGGAACGAATCTATGCTTTAGCACAGTATTTCACCCAATAATCGATGGGCAGTCTGAAAGGACGATACAAACCTTGGAGGATATGCTTCGA